AGACTCAGCTCCTGGCCCCGCCTCTTCACTGACCGTGTGTGTGTGTGTGTGTGTGTGTGTGTGTGTGTGTGTGTGTGTGTCTCCCACCTATTTGTAACTGCCGGAGTAGAGTTTTGGTGTCTGGCCTTACCTCTTAACATGCCACTTAGTTTATTTTCTCATACCCTCGTGGGTCCTGTCATACCGATTGTTAAAACTATGTATGGAGTATGCCTCCGCTATTTCTAACAATTCAATCCGCTTCCTGATCACTCAGAGACTTGTCCCAGCAGCTCTGGATTATACCTGGAGAGGGTTTCTGGGGTCAACGCCCCCGCGGCCCGGTCTGAGACCAGTCCTCGTAGTGGCTCAGTCTGATCAACCAGGCTGTTACTGCTGGCCGCACGCAAACTGATGTACGAACTGCAGCCTTATGTATGCAGGGAGGCAGTTGAACAGTGAGGCATGCAAAGAATACGTAGCCTTTATTCGGCGCATGTACATACCCTCGTTAAACGGCTACCTCCTCAACCAGCGAACCGGGTGCTAAGGATCGGATGATGGGGCCCCATCGTCAGATCAGTACCCAGGTTCAGCCAATGAGAAGGTGGGTCTGGCAATTGTGGAGATGGTGTGGTCACCACTCACTTTTCCACCCTTGTCATTTTCATTCTAGAGCTGGTTGAACATGGTTGTCCATTCTGTCTCCAGGCTGTGTCTTTGTCTATAGACTCACCGTGTAGTACACACATTTCCAACTGTATATAGTGTACATACTTGTAAATACTTATAATCGCACTTGGTGAAGGAAAATATAATTCAAAGTCATTCAGCTGTGTTTGTTCTGCTCCTTGCTCCCCTTTACACCCAGGATAACAGACCTTATTGTTCCTGGGTTGTAGTAAACAGTCTTGGGCCTCAGACACTTATTGTGTTGTCTGTCAGTGCACTCGTGGCACCCCTGCTTTTCATTGGGAGAATGTTGCATCTCCTGCCGAGTCTTTTGGTTTCATAGGGAGTAATTTTCGTGTGCAAGTTTGCTACTAATCCCTCTAGGATTTTCCAAGTATTTATTATCATGTATCTTTCTCGCCTGCTTTCCAGGGAATACAAATCAAGGGACTTCAGCTGTTCCCAGTAATTTAGGTGCTTTATCGTACTTATGTGTGCCGTGAAAGTTCTTTGTACACTTTCCAGGTCAGCAATTTCGCCTGCCTTGAAGGGGGCAGTTATCGTACAGCAGTATTCCACACTAGAGAGAACAAGAGATCTGAAGAGAATCATGGGCTTGGCGTCCCTAGTTTTGAAGGTTCTCATTACCCATCGTATAGTTTTTCTAGCAGATATGGTAGATACATTGTTGTGGTCTTTGAAGTTGAGATCCTCTGACATTATCACTCTCGGGTCCTTCACATTTCTTTTGTGCTCTATTGTATGGTTAGAATTTGTTGTGTACCCTGATACAGTTTTAATTTCCTCTATGTGTTCAGTCCATCAATCTTGTAGAATTTACAGCATAGGACCGTAGACGTGGCTTATATACTGTAGTCAGGTGAGGCGAAGCAGGAGGAGGCTGGGTCATAGTGGAACCATCCACTAGTCGAAGCAGGTCTTCGTCCAAAGGTTGGACAAGTTTTGAAGAATTCTTTCCTCTAGTTTTCCATATCTGAGTAGATGAAATTTCTCTGCATTAAACTTCATATTGTTTTGAGTTGCCCATTTGAAGATTTGGTTGATGTCCGCTTGGAGTCTGGCGGTGTCTTCGATGGAGGACACCGTCTTGGCAATTCGGGTGTCATTCGCAAAGGAAGACACGGAGGTATGGTTTACATCTCTATCTATGTCAGATATGAGGATGAGGAATAGGATGGGAGCGAGTACTGTGCCTTGTGGAACAGAGCTTTTCACTGTAGCCACCTCAGACTGTTCACTATTACTCTTTCTGTTCTATTTGTAAAACAATTATATATCCATCTACCAACTTTTCCTGTTATTACTTTTGTGCGCTATTACACCGTGGTCACACTTGTCGAAGGCTTTCGCAAAGTCTGTGTATACTGCATCTGCATTATGTTTATCTTCTATAGCATCCAGGACCTTGTCACAGTGGTCCAGTAACTGGAACAGGCAGGAGCGATCTGCTCTAAACCCGTGTTGCCCTGGATTTTGGAACTGATGGGTATCTAGGTGGTTGGCGATCTTGCTTCTTAAAGCCCTTTCAAAGGTTTTTATATGGGGTGTTAGTGCTATCGGTCTGTAGTTCTTTGCAATTGCTTTACTGCCACCATTGTAGAGTGGGGCTATGTCTGTTGTTTTTAGTAAGCGTTCCCTCTCCATAGAATTCTGAAGGCAGGAAACAGGGGCTTCTTGCAGTTCTCAATGAACGCATAGTTCCATGAGTCTGAGCCTGGGGCAGAGTGCATGGGCATGCCACTTATTATCTTTTCAAAGTCTTGTGGTGTTATGATAATATCAGAGGTTTTTTGAGATGATCAGATTTTGGGTCTCGGTCATAAAGAATTCATTTAGATTGTCGACCCTTAGTCTGGGTAACGGCTCGCTGAACACTGAGTCGTATTGGGACTTTAGTGTCTCACTCATTTCTTGACTGTCATCTGTGTAGGTCCCATCACGCTTAAACAGGGGCCCAATACTGGATGTTATTTCACCCTTAGATTTGGCATGAGAGAAGAAGTATTTTTTTTTTCAATTTTCTTTAAGGCTTTCAATTCTTCCTGAGATTCTTGTTTCCTGTAAGATTCCTTAAGCTTAAGTTCGATATTTGCTGTTAGGTTAGGTTAGGTAAGGTTCGTCAGGAAACAGGACAAATGTTTCCTGACGCAGGGTCTAGTCTGTGAACCCGCCTTTGGAGCTTTTGTAGTCATCTGCACGGGCCTTTCCTCTGGCTTACCGGTCCACACCTTTAAAAATTTGCAGGTCATTTATCAATCTATATTTGCTGTTTCAATGACCGATGCCTCTCTTCTTTTTCAGAATAGTTTGCTGGCCCTTCTTGCAGCTCTGTGTTTCTTCGCCAGGGTCAAGTCTCGTTGCAAACCTTTTTATTTCGACAGTTTCGTAACATGCTTTACCTGGTTAGGGTTCCGTGCTGATGCTGCATATTCTAAGGTGGGCCTGACATATGTCATATACAGGCTCATGACTCTTTGTTGAGCTCTCTGAAAGCTAATCACAGATTTATTAAACGAACATTCGGTGCAGAGGTAATTTATCCAACCCATACCTCTTCCTGACCACTTTGAAAGTGAAGAAATATTTCCTGACACCCATCCCTCCTGTGGCTCGTCTGTGTCAGACACTTCCAGGTTTGCCCTCGAGAACCCGTTAACCTTCCAAATTTGTGGACTTTGCAGACTACTCTGCTGAGCACATTGCACAAAGTCCCTCTTGTTTCCCCTCGTTATCATGTGAGCATTTACTGTAATTTTCTTTTGCCGTGGCTGCCAAGCAGTTCTGGTTCAGTTTTTGCCTTGGTCGCTATGTCCACTTGAAACTGCTTTTATTACTGGCACTTGGACTACGTTCTCTACTCATTGATGTTTACTTCGTCCCGCACTTCTTCTTAGTTATTCTTTTCCTGCTATTTGACTTCTTACATTAATGGTTAAATTTTGGAATCTTCCAATGTCTTTTATTTCCACAAGTTGATACTGATTCGATTATCCTTGGAGGATTATCATCTGAATTCAACGTTCCACATTCCTTCACAGTTACCTTTCCTGTACCTGAGTCTCCTAATCTACTCCTGTCTTTAGGGGCACTCCTGCTAAATTTCTCTATATTCATCTCACTGGAGGTGTAAACAAGATCCAGCTTCACAGGTTCGTCATTCTCTGTTACTCTTGTCGGTTCTTAAAAAACTGTCGTAAAAATATTATTTTGAAGCCAAGCACGTTGCACCTCCATGTCTCTGTGAGTCCTTGTTGCTCTTATCATCACTGAAGTTCTGGATCTGTTGCTGCCTTCTCAGTTTTATACTATACTAGATGACGTGATGTTGCTTCTCTCATATGCATGGGTATCAGGTTGTGGACAACATTCATAAACCCTGAAGATCTTACAAAGTAAGCCATTCGGTTATATAAAAATGAGAAATCGCACCAGCCTGGAGGTGACATTTCTTCAAATCTCAGTCAGTTTTGGATGTGGAAAGTTATTTCTATTTCTTGCAATTTTTCCTCTTCTTCTTAAATCATAACTTTTGTAATCACATAATTTAATTTATTTTTCTTAATTACCTAAATTTCTAGCATTTCTTCCCGTTTGTTTGCTATTTAATTTTTCCATAAATTACTTTGATATATATGTATGTTCCTGCTTGGCAAGCGTATGTTAGATACAAAGGTGACCTGGAGATGATATGTAGATGACCGAGTTTGGGGAATGGTGGGACTATGGAATCTGTTGAAACTTATGGATGTAGAGTAGTTTGAGGATCTAGAGTCTCTTGAGGATGTGTAGCAGTTTGAAGGTGTGAAGTAGCTTAAAAGTGTGGAGTGGGTTCGGAATCTGAAGTGGCTTAGGGGTTGAGGAACAGCTTAGGGATGTATAGTTGCTTGGCGATGTGATTGAGGTTGAGGAAGTGGTTTGAGTCGAAGGTGGTTTTCCAAGAGACAGTTGGTTGGAGATCTGATTGTGTGTTGGAGTTAGGAGTGTTCTCTCCTGGGATAATTGCAAAATAATCATGGTTGATAGGACATTTACTGTGAGAGAATGATAATGAAGGTGGTCTGTGTATGTGTGTGTGTATGTGTGTGTGTTGTGTGTGTGTGTGTGTGTGTGTGTGTGTGTGTGTGTGGGGTGTGTGTGTGTGTGTGTGTGTGTGTGTGTGTGTGTGTGTGTTCAGATGCTTTAAATATTCTTTAGTAAATGTAATGGGAAAGATTTCTTGATCCCTTTCTCCAAGTAATCCCTTAAGACCATCCTAAATACCGTCCCTCGTTTCCAACAGTACATTATTTCTAATGTACGTTATTTCTAAGAGGGTTGCGTCTCGGCAGGTACCTTCAGGAGTACGAGCAGGTGCTGGCGGAGGGTCCTGCTACTGAAGAGGTTGTGGTCGAGCGCCTGGCCGGCAACCCAGTGCATGCCTTCCATCTTATGAAGAGAATTACTGTCGACTGGAAACACATCGAGAACCAGGCCAAGACCGACTACTGGAGAGGTGAGGGAGAGAGAGAGAGAGAAAGAGAGAGAGAGAGAGAGAGAGAGAGAGAGAGAGAGAGAGAGAGAGAGAGAGAGAGAGAGAGAGAGAGAGAGAGAGAGAGAGAGAGAGAGAGAGAGTGTAACAGACAGAAAATCCACTTGAGATAATAACAATATATTAGAGGCAACACCCTCCTCTTCACCTCTGCTTCACCTGTGGCATATTCCCTCCCTACTGGAGAATACAAGTCATGGAGTAAGCTCATTGTCTCGCTATATCATCATCTGTAATTACGGATGACGAAGTTCTGAAGACCTTTTTAGTGGCAGTTCATTGTTTGCGTGTGGTGTGTGTATATAAACATATATATATAATATATATATATATATATAATATATATAATATATATATATATATATATATATATATATTAATATATATTATATATATATATATTATATATATTATATATATATATATTATGTCGTGCCGGATATGTAAAACTGGTCAATTAGCAAAACTCATTTAAAATTAAGTCCTATCTAAAATTTTCTCTTATACGTTTAAAGATATATTTTTTCATTAATGTTAATGTAAAAATTCTTAATTTTGCTCCAAAAGAATCTTAGAAAACTTACCTAACCTTATTATAACAAGAACAATTTATTTTAGCCTAACCCAACTAAATATATTTTAGATTTGTTTACAGTAATTTAATACTAAACAAACACAGTGAAATATATTTTTTTCGTTAGGTTCTGAATGATTTTGGCGAAATTATTGCATACCAGGAGGCCTGGTCACAGACCGGGCCGCGGGGGCGTTGACCCCCGGAACTCTCTCCATGTAAACTCCAGGTACACAAATTTTCACTTGTCCTATATGGCAAGATGAGCGTTGCTATTTAAGCCAAGATCGCAAGTTCTGCCTATTCGGCACGACACAACAATATATATGTTATATATATATATATATATATATATATATATATATATTATATATATATATATATATTTATATAATATATATATATATATATATATATATATAATTCTTATTTTTTAACATATTCATCAAGAAATGGTAATTACTAATCAATATATTTACAGTAACAACTAGATTATTAAGTTTCAAAAGGCAAACCCGTGCTTCGAGCAATTGTCTCGTTACAGGCGTGGTGGAAGCCATGAGGGGCGTGGGCATGGGTGCCATGGGCGTGCACCTACCGAAGGATGAGGACCTGCAGGGAGCTGCCCAGGCTTTGGTCAGACTGCACGATGTTTATAATCTCAACATGACGCAGCTGGTGAGAGGAAACGTGTGGGGCGTGGAGAGTGCTGCAGGTGAGTGTCACCACGAGTGCACTTTGTAATATGTGGGTGCATTTGTATTTCTGGTAGGATATGAGTGAACCTAGTAATATGTGGGCGCACTTAGCAATATGTGGGTAAACCTAGAAGTGTGTGGAGCACTTCTTAGTGTATAGGAATACTATGCAGTGCGTGGGTGTACCTAGCACTGTGTGAGTGTACATACTTGTCTGGGATTGTTTAGCAGTGTGTGGGAGCACCTAGCAGTGTAGGGTGTACCCAGCAGTGTATGGGTGATCCTAGCAGTGTGTGGATATAACTGTGTGTGGGATTGTTGAGCAGCGTACGGGAACACACAAACACACACATACACATTAGAGAAACAAACATTAGAGAAAGTGCAAAGGTTTGCAACAAGGCTAGTTCCAGAGCTAAGGGAAAGGTCGTACGAAGAGAGGTTAAGGGAAATTGGTCTGAGGACACTGGAGGACAGGAGGGTTAGGGGAGACATGATAACGACATACAAAATACTGCGTGGAAGAGACAAGGTGGACAGAGACAGGATGTTCCAGAGATGGGACACAGAAATAAGGGGTCACAAGTGGAAGCTGAAGACTCAGATGAGTCAAAGGGATATTAGGAAGTATTTCTTCAGCCACAGAGTTGTTAGAAAGTGGAATAGTCTGGCAAGTGATGCAGTAGATTCAGGAACCATACATAGTTTTAAGACGAGGTATGATAAAGTTGATGGAGCAGGGAGAGGGAGGACCCAGTAGCGGTCAGGGAAGAAGCGGGGCCAGGAGCTGAGTCTCGACCCCCGCAACCACAGTTAGGCGAGAACACACACACACACACACATACACACACACACACACACATCACACACACACACACACACACACACACACACACACACACACACACACACACACACACACACACACACACACACACATACACAGAGTGGGCACCTGTGACCAGCGGGGTCCCGCAGGGGTCAGTCCTAGGACCAGTGCTGTTTCTGGTATTTGTGAACGACATGACGGAAGGAATAGACTCTGAGGTGTCCCTGTTTGCAGATGACGTGAAGTTGATGAGAAGAATACACTCGATCGAAGACCAGGCAGAACTACAAAGGGATCTGGACAGGCTGCAGACCTGGTCCAGCAATTGGCTCCTGGAGTTCAATCCCACCAAGTGCAAAGTCATGAAGATTGGGGAAGGGCAAAGAAGGCCGCAGACGGAGTACAGTCTAGGGGGTCAGAGACTACAAACCTCACTCAAGGAAAAAGATCTTGGGGTGAGTATAACACCAGGCACATCTCCTGAAGCGCACATCAACCAAATAACTGCTGCAGCATATGGGCGCCTAGCAAACCTCAGAACAGCATTCCGACATCTTAATAAGGAAATCGTTCAGGACCCTGTACACCGTATACGTTAGGCCCATATTGGAGTATGCGGCACCAGTTTGGAACCCACACCTAGCCAAGCACGTAAAGAAACTAGAGAAAGTGCAAAGGTTTGCAAACAAGACTAGTCCAGAGCTAAGAGGTATGTCCTACGAGGAGAGGTTAAGGGAAATCAACCTGACGACACTGGAGGACAGGAGAGATAGGGAGGACATGATAACGACATACAAAATACTGAGAGGAATTGACAAGGTGGACAAAGACAGGATGTTCCAAGATTGGACACAGTAACAAGGGGACACAGTTGGAAGCTGAAGACACAGATGAATCACAGGGATGTTAGGAAGTATTTCTTCAGCCACAGAGTAGTCAGTAAGTGGAATAGTTTGGAAGCGATGTAGTGGAGGCAGGATCCATACATAGCTTTAAGCAGAGGTATGATAAAGCTCACGGCTCAGGGAGAGTGGCCTAGTAGCGATCAGTGAAGAGGCGGGGCCAGGAGCTCGGACTCGACCCCCGCAAACCTCAACTAGGTGAGTACAACTAGGTGAGTACACTCACACACACGCCACACACACACACACACACACACACACACACACACACACACACACACACACACACACACACACACACACACACACACACACACACACACACACTCACTCATACACACAACACACACACACACACACACACACACACACACACACACACACACACACACACACACACACACACACACACCACAACACAAATACACAACACACACACACACACATACACACAACACACACACTCACACACACACACATACACACACACACCACACACTCCAACACACACTCACACACACAAACTCACTACACACACACACATACACACACACACACACACACACACACACACACCACACACACACACACACACAAATCACACACCACACACACACATAACACACAACACACACACACACCACACACCACACACATACACACACACACACACACACACACACACATCACACCACACACACACACACAAACACACACACACACACAACACACAACACACACACACACACCCACACAACACAACACACACACACTCACACACACACACACACACCCACACCACACACACACAAACACACACACACCACACACCACACACACAACACACACCACACACACACACACACACACACACACACACACCACACACACACACACACACACACACACACACACACACACACACACCACACACACACACACACACACACACACCACACACACACACACACACACATACACACACACACACACACACACACACACACACACTCACACAACACACACACACACACACACACACACACACACACACACACACACTTACACACACACACACACACACAATATTCGAAACCCGTGTGTTATATTGCATATGAGGTGGAGGCTTGATCCTCCGTCCACATATGAGGAACTGATCTCTCAATACCGGATAATTCCATCGGGCACAGTGCTCAGAGACAACGAAAAAAAAATTGTAGGCCCAAATTATTCTGAGTCACAAATGAGAAATGAAAACTGCATAATTTATGAGCATTACATATAATCCAAAGTTCCAATTAGCACTTATAAATTGGGCCTACGCGTGGGCACGGCCTATAAAGACCTCAGTCCGGCCTTGACTCAAAACCAGATATTATAAGATTTTAAATTACTGTTATATTCATGAAAAATGATTTAAAATGCAATTTTCACCACTAATATCATTTTGTGTGTGTACAGAGATGAGCGCGCAAGACTGTCTCTACATGGGCAAGCACTCCTTCAACCTGGGCATGTACCCGCGAGCCATCCAGTGGTTTGAGGAAGCCTACATCCTGGCTGGTCTGGAAGCCAACGTCACAGTCACCCAAGATCAAGTCAATACCTTCCTCAACATTGCGATAAAGGCTTAAGAAAGAGAGAGAGAGAGAATGAGAGAGAGAGAGAGAGAGGAGAGGAGAGGAAGAGAGAGAGAGAGCGGAGAGAGAGAGAGGGAGAGGAGAGAGAGAGAGAAGACGAGAGAGAGAGGGAGAGAAAGAGAGAGAGAGAGAGAATCTTAACCTTGCCAAACCCTGTGTAAAAAAAAAAAATTAATTACTTGATGAAAATATGAGAAAGCAAGAAAACGAAATATAATAATTATAATAATAAAACGATATTAATAATAATAATAATAATAATAATAATAATAATAATAATAATAATAATAATAATAAAATTATCTCTCTGACTTTCAACTTATATTGTCATGTGATATCTACAGTTAACAAGAAAACCATCAGTGGAATTTGACTAAGTTCAGTTTAACAGTATCTAACTTTCCAATCCCTCCTCCTAGAATAGACAGATCTCACCAACAGAATACAGGCATTATATTTTGATTACATATTTGTGTATTAATGAAATGTGGAGTACAATTGGTCAGATTCAATTAAATTCAATTCAAGTTTATTCTCTATAAGGGTTACAGTGTGGGGTTTACAGGTTTTGGGTATTGTGTGGTTTACATGTTATAAAATACTAATTACAGAGGGGGTCACTAGGACACCTAGCATGGCTAGGCATTTCGGGCAGACTTAGATTAATTCTTAACATTAAATCCTTACAGATTATGGTATTAAGGCTAAGTGACTACATCATAATTTGTGAGTTTAGCAATGTGAATGCTTTTGTTTTGGCACAATACAAAGTGTCTATATTGGAATATCATAGGCAAACTTATGACTAGTTAGGATTCATTATTTAAGATTAAGATTAGTATTTCTGGGTTTATAGTCAGTGGGTGAGTGAGTGTAATTGTGAACCACCAGGTGGTTATCATGTAGTTAGTTGTCGGGGTGGATCAGGGAGATAAGATGTTTTCTAACTGTAGTTTTGAAAGTGATGAATGTGTCTGCAGTTCTAGAGTTTTCAGGTAGGGTGTTCCAGATTTTAGGTCCTTTGAAATACATTGAATTTTTGTAAAGGTTTAGTCGAACACGGGGAATGTCATAGAGATGTTTGTGTCCGGTGTTATGCCTGTTAGGCTAATTATTATTCATGTATTTCTGAGTGTGAAACTATGGCTTTTCTCCTCATTTACATTCTTTTCATAGGTAATAATAATCTGTTTTCAATAGCACGATGAGAGCACAGCAAGACAGAACTTGAGAGTCTCCTCTGAGGGGCACGAGGAAGACTTCGGCGCCTCAATGCAAGACGAAGCTCTGAGCGAGAGTTGGCAGGTCCCAACACACCGCCTGGGGAACGACCTCCAGCCCCATGAAGATGCTGAAAACTTCCAAGCTCTCTGCCGTGGAGAGCAGCTCTTGGTGGGTGTTGGTCTGTGTGGTGGGTCAGTGTGATGGGTGCTGGTCTTTGTGGTGGGTGCTGGTCTGTGTGGCGGGTCTGTGTGGTGGGTGCTGGTCTGTGTGGTGGGTGTTGGTCTGTGTGGTGGGTCAGTGTGATGGGTGCTGGTCTTTGTGGTGGGTGTTGGTCTGTGTGGTGGGTCTTGTGTGGTGGGTGCTGGTCTGTGCGTGTGGGTTGTTGGTCTGAGTGGTGGGTCAGTGTGATGGGTGCTGGTCTTTGTGGTGGGTGCTGGTCTAGTGTGGTGGGTCTGTGTGGTGGGTGTGGTTGGTCTGGTGGTGGTTGTTGGTCTGTGTGGTGGGTGTTGGTCTTGTGTGGTGGGTGTTGCTGTTGTGTTGTCGGTCGGGTGCTGGTCTGTGTGGTGGGTCTGTGTGATGGGTGCTGGTCTGTGTGATGGGAGTTGGTGTGTGGTGGGTCTGTGTGGTGGGTGCTGGGTCTGTGTGGTTGGTCTGTGTGAATGGGGCTGGGTCTGTGTGGTGGGTGCTGGTCTGTGTGGTGGGTCTTGTGTTGGTGGGTGCTGTTCTGTTGGTGGATGTTGGTCTGTGTGGTGGGTGTTGTTGGTCTGTGTGGTGGGTCTGTGTGGTGGGTGTTGGTCTGTGTGGTGGGTCTGTGTGGTGGCTGCTGGTCTGTGTGGGGGTATTGGTCTGTGTGGTGGGTGTTGGTCTGTGTGGTGGGTGGTGGGTTCGTATTTGGTGGGCGGTGGTTCTTGTGGTGGGAGGTGGTCCGTGTGGTGGGTGGTGGTCTGTGCGGTGGGTGGTGGGTCCGTGTGTGAGTGGGTGGTGGGCTCGTGTGGTGGGTGGTGGTCTGTGTGGTGGGTGGTTGTCCTTGTGGTGGGTGGTTGTTCTTGTGGTGGGTGGTGGTCCGTGTGGAGGGAGGATGGGTGGTCCGTGTAGTGAGTGGTGATCCGTTTGGTGGTGTGGTGTGGTTTTGTGTGGTGGGGTGGTCCTTGTGGTGGGTGGTGGTTCTTGTGGTGGGTGGTGGTCCTTGTGGTGGGTGGTGGTCCTTGTGGTGGGTGGTGGTCCTTGGTTGGTGGGTGGTGGTCCTTGTGGTGAGTGGTGGTCCGTGTGGTAGGGGGTGGTGGTCCGTGTGGTGGAGTGGTGATCCGTGTGTTGGGTGGTGGTCCGTGTGGTGGGTGGTGGGTCCGTGTGTTGGGGTGGTGGTCCGTGTGGTGGGTGGTGGTCCGTGTGGTGGGATGGTGGTCGGTGTGTTGGGTGGTGGTCCGTGTGGTGGGTGGTGGTCCGTGTGGTGGGTGATGGTCCGTGTGGGGGTGGTGGTCCGTGTTGTGTGGTGGTGGTCCGTGTGGTGGGTGGTGGTCCATGTGGTGGGGGTGGTGGTCCGTGTGTTGGGTGGTGGTCCTTGTGGTGAGTGGTGGTCCGTGTGGTGGGTGGTGTGGTGGGGTGGTTTTTTTCCATGTGGTGGGTGGTGGATCCGTGTTGTTGGGTGGTGGTCCGTGTGGTGGGTGGTGGTCCGTGTGGGTGGGTGGTGGTCCGTGTGGTGGGTGGTGGTCCGTGTGGTGGGTGATGGTCCGTGTGGTAGGTGGTGGTCCGTGTGGTGGGTGGTGGTCCGTGTGGTGGGTGGTGGTCCGTGTGGTGGGTGGTGGTCCGTGTGGTGGGTGATGGTCCGTGTGGTGGGGGGTGATGGTCCGTGTGGTGGGTGATGGTCCGTGTGGTGGGTGGTTTGGTCCGTGTGGTGGGTGGTGGTCCGTTGTGGTGGGTGGTGGTCCGTGTGGTGGGTGGTGGTCCGTTGTGGTGGGTGTGGTGGTCCGTGTGGTGGGTGGTGGTCCGTGTGTGTGTGGGTGGTGGTCCGTTGTGGTGGGTGGTGGTCCGTGTGGTGGGTGATTGGTCCGTTGTGGTGGGTGATGGTCCGTTGTGGTGGGTGATGGTGAGGTCCGTGTGGTGGGTGGTGGTCCGTGTGGTGGGTGGTGGTCCGTTGTGCCGTGTGTGGTGATGGTCCGTGTGGTGGGTGGTGGTCCTTGTGGTGGTGGTGGTCCGTTTTTGGGTGGTGGGTGGTGGTCCGTGTGGTGGGTGATGGTCCGTTGTTGGTGGGTGTGGTCCGGTGTGGTGGGGATGGTTGGTCCGTTGTGGTGGCGGGTTGGTGGTCCGTGTGGGGGTGATGGTCCGTGTGGTGGGTGATGGTCCGTGTGGTGGGTGATGGTCCGTGTGGTGGGTGGTTGGTCCGTGTGGTGGGTGGTGGTCCGTGTGGTGGGTGATGGTCCGTGTTGTGGTGGGTGGTATGTCCGTGTGGTGGGTGGTGGTCCGTGTGGTGGGTGGTGGTCCTTGTGGGTGAGTGGTGGTGGTGTGGTGGGTGGTGGTCCATGTGGTGGGTGGTGGTCCGTGTGGTGGGTGATGGTCCGTGTGGTGGGGTGGTGGTCCGTGTGGGTGTGGCGTGGTGGGGTTCCGTGTGGTGGGTGGTTGGGTTCCGTGTGGTGGGTGATGGTCGGGTGTGGTGGGTGATGGTCCGTGTGGTGAGGTGGGCGTGGTCCGTGTGGTGGGGTTGGTGGTCCGTGTGGTGGGTGGTGGTCCGTGTGGTGGGTGGTGGTCCGTGTGGGGGGGTGCCTTGGTGTTTCCGTGTGGTGGGTGATGGTCGTGTGGTGGGTGATGGTCCGTGTGGTGGGTGATTGGTCCGTGTGGTGGGTGATGGTCGTGTGGTGGGCTGGTGGTCCGTGTGTGGTGGGTTGGTGGTCCGTGTGGTGGGTGATGCCGTCCCTGTGGTGGGTGGTGGTCCGTGTGTGGTGGGTTGGTAGTGTCCGTGGGTGTGGGTGGTGTGGTGGTTCGTGTGGTGGGTGATGGTCCGTTGTGGTGGGTGGTGTGGTCCGTGTGGTGGGTGGTGAGTCCGTGTGGTGGGTGGATGGTTCCGTTGTGGTGGATGGTGGTCCGTGTGGTGGGTGGTGGTCCGTGTGGAGGGTGGTGGTCCGTAGTGTGTGGTGGTTGGGTGGTGGTTCCGTGTGGTGGGTGGTGGTCCGTGTGGTGGGTGGTGGTCCGTGTGGTGGGTGGTGGTCCGTGTGGTGGGTGGTGGTCCGTGTGGTGGGTGGTGGTCCGTGTGGTGGGTGATGGTCCGTGTGGTGGGTGGTGGTCCGCTGTGGTGGGTGATGGTCCGTGTGGTGGGTGGTGGTCGTGTGGTGGGTGGTGGTCCGTGTGGTGGGTGGTGGTCCGTGTGGTGGGTGATGGTCCGTGGTGGTGGAGTGATGTCCGTGTGTGGGTGTGGTCCGTGTGGTGGGTGGTGGTCCGCGTGTTGGGTGGTGGTCCGTGTGGTGGGTGGTGGTCCGTCAGTTTATTTTTGCAGATTTACCCTTGAGGATAATAAGATGACTGGGGAACCTGCATAAAACTTTGGAAAAATCTTATACTGCAATATACTTCATCAGATCTCCCTGGTGATAATCCCTGATCAGATGATTCCTCAGCCCACTGATGACTGCTGAGGAAAAATAAAAAAAATAAGCACGATTATTAAATGTTTTGTTATTAGTTTTTATATATTTGTTAATTCTGCAGCATACTCTTCCACCGTTCCTTTTGAATCTCAGTATAATATTTTTTATAGATTAATGGAGTATTTCTCCCCAGTGGAGCCAGAGAGAGAAAGAGAGAGAGGAGAGAGAGAGAGAGAGAAAGAGAGAGAGAGAGAGAGAGAGACTCCTGCCTTCTTCTCTACTCTCCTAATACTATTTTTTCTTATGCAAAACAGGTATAGCTATTAGTTTAATTTCGCTCAGCAGGTAACTTCGATAATGACCGTAAGGTCTTCGTTAAACTCTTATCTGTGCACTCTTTCATCCTCAACTCTTGTTTTCTACTCATCTTATGCAATATTTAACAATGTACGAGGCGGATCTGCAAGCCGGAGGATGACTACGTCACTTATCAAGAGCTTCGTTATCGGGAGAAATTTCCCTCATTCTTCTGGCAAATCAAAACACCTCATATCCTCCTGTCTGTATTTGCTACACCTTTTAGGGGACGGGAATGCTAACGATCTCTACTCAATAAGCTTTCCCTTAAATTGATGAAGCCTCTGGTTGGCAAAAGTCTTGAAAATATAGATGCCCACGTATTACACTTGTGTCTAATATATCAAACAAAACACCATCCTCACCTCTCTCTTCTGTTGTTTTGCCTTCCGTGTAAACACAACACCAGAATATTGGGAAACATTTCCTAATAACATGATCTATGGCTGCACAAGTGTCTTTGGATGCATTCTGTGTACATATGCCAGGTTTCTTTCGTTGCTTCCGTGTATATTATCTGTGTATTATCTCACTAACACTTCTTCTTGGTACTCCCTCCAGAGCGAGTCGTATCTGGCCACTCTCTCCTGCTTCTACGACCACAGAAACAACCACTATCTACGACTCATGCCCGTCAAGGTGGAGAGACACTACTGGGAGCCTGAACTGCTCACTTTCCACAATGTTATCTCCGACAGCGAGATAGAGAAGATTAAGTCCCTGGGTCGACCTATGGTGAGGGAGAGAGAGAGAGAGAGAGAGAGAGAGAGAGAGAGAGCTGATGTAGGTAACAGCTCTTAGCTGTTAGGAATCCTTAACCAGTAAATAGCTTGTCAATAAAGCTAGGGATCCTTAACCTTGTCAAACCCTGTGTAAAAAGAGAGAGAGAGAGAGAGAGAGAGGAGAGGAGAGAGAGAGAGAGAGATATAGAGATGAGAGAGAGAGATGAGAGGAGAGAGAAGAGAGAGAGAGAGAGAAGAAAAGAGGGAGGAAGGGAGGGAGAGAGTGTTTCTTAGGTTTAGAACCTTTTGACTGCACTCTGGATATTAATTAAGCAATTCATATTGTATGTAACGATATTGCACAATTTAATTAACAAAATAAAGATTAATCTTTCGTTATTCCTGTCGTGGATGACATCCTGGGTTAGTAGTCGACTTTGGATAGGAGTGAACTTCAAAACAAACAAGTTCAACGAAATAGGAAAAACTTATAGTTCCAACTTTCGGTGTTTATTGTACACTTCGTTTTTTAATGTCTTTAAATTAGGCAGTTATCTGTGTCGACGATGCTAATTATATGGGTAATTGTTTACGTGAATGTGTAACATATTTCATTAGGCAAAAAAAAAAAAAGAAATTGAAAGATATATCATTTCACATTTGGGTAATATTTCCTTGCAGATGACCAGAGCGATGGTTCAAGGCGCCAGAGGTAAAGGCAACACTATCAGCAACACTCGGACTTCCAAGGTGCAAACACATTCTATAATTTCTGCAGCAATTAAAGTCTTTATAATAGTTGTTCCGCTTGTGTTCTTGTTTCTTTTAGCTTTATCTTAAGCAAAAGTTTATAAATGTAATGTGTTTCCACATCTCCTCCTGCCTCAGATTTTTTAATATTTGCGTTCTGTTGTTTCAGAACTGGTTTACTGGGTTTAAGACCCCAGTAACTAAGTGGAATTATAAGAAACTTTAATGCAAGACTGACAGATGTCACTAAACTCATCATCTGGATGGAATACGAAAGTTCAACAAAACAGATTTAGTTTTTACAATGTAATAACGTAGCAGCATACTTAGGATGCTCCCATAATGTAATTATCATATAAAATATTTTTGCTATACATTTCGGGCGTATCAGAATTTTAATATTAGAAAAACTCCAACGTGTTTCTTCTTCACAACGATATATACACCAAAGGTGTATGTCTTTCAGTGTATATATGCTAAGAGATTACTTTAAAAACTATTAAAGTATTTTTGATTGGTGATGAGCAGGTGACATGCAGCCTTAATGACCCTCATATAGTCGATAAGCTTTAAGCCCAATAATTTACAGATTAACATTCTAGTTCGGTGAAACAACAGGTGGGGTGGTTGAAGGACACCATTCACCCACTTGTGGCAAAGCTTGGGGATCGTATTCAGCGTATCACTGGCCTTTCCACTGACTTGGCCAGAGAACACGCTGAGCTGCTTCAGGTGGCCAACTACGGTGTAGGTGGCCACTATAACCCCCACCATGATTACCTACTGGTGGACAAGACCGAGAAGGAGGTAAGTGAGATGTAGGAAGCTTAGGTTGTCAGAAGCTCTATCAAGGCTGAGATTGACCAACCATTGGTCAGCGATATGTCGATACAATAAAGAGTCTTATTCTAGAGTGTAGTTCTGTCAGGTAGAGAGCAAATCTCTCTCTCTCTATCTCTGTCTCTCTCTCATTCTCTCTGATATTAACTGCTTTTCACCACTATATAAAAATTAATATTTATTATTATTAATCCCAATACTCTCAAACGCAGTTCACGCAAATCGTTGAACCTTAAGCAATCACTAAACTCAAGGAGTAGTGAAGGCTCGACCCTCCATTCGCTCAGCAGAGATAGGCACGATATTCACGTGAATGTAACTCATATAAGTAGTGTACATTTTTACGATTTAGACTGACGAGAACAAGCACACTAATGCGTCCATACTTTGAATACATCATGGTTGAATGTTTCAGTAGTATACTCAGATATACTTTCTCACAGCTGTTGTATAACATACACCCACGGGAGCTGGTGATGGGGGACCGCATCGCCACTTTCATGTTTTATGTGAGTACACTTTGTTGTTCAAGAGAGTATACCGTTTATGTAAGTGTAGCGTGATGTTTATGTAAGTAATATACTGATTTATATCAGTATACTGCGGTGTTAAAGTGACATTCCCTGGCGTCCACGTGAGTATGCTATGGTGCTAGTATGTGAGAAAGTCACAGTGTGTATGTGGTATACCATGATTCGTATGTGAGTATATTTATTCCTCGCTGTCACCTCTAGAAGTACCGTTATATATATATATATATATATATATATATATATATATATATATATATATATATATATATATATATATATATATATATATATATATATATATATATATACAGTAAGATTATATACAGTACGATCACAGTAAACAGGTGATTTCAAAATATGCAAAACAACCACTCTGAAAGAATAGAGAAATTCCAAGCGCTTTCGTGACTACTCACATTATCAAGGAACTATGAAAGTGAAGCATCCAAGGAAGCTATATAAGGGGTCGGCCAGCACCTCACTATCAGATCCCACAACGGTTAAACACGTGACGCGCGGCGAGCCAACTTGGATAGGTCCTTTGCAAAACTCGCCCCCAAGCTATTTATTTGTCCAGTGTATTATTAAATTCTTCCCAAATTCTATTAATTATAAATGGATCTAATTTATATAAACCAAAGGAAATATTCATATTATTGTCAAAACTGCTTTTTATGAAACAAGATTCAATTATATTCCTGTCGACCATGGACTTGCTTGATACTACTTTCTCAACTTTTTGAAAATCAATTGGATGGTTAAAATCTCTTACATGAATAAATAGAGCATTGGAATCTTGTCCAGTTCTAATGCTATATTTATGTTGTTTTAATCTTAGTTCGAGATTTTTACCAGTTTGACCGTAATAAACTTTATCGCAAATTTTACAAGGAATCTTATAGACACATCCATCAGCATTTTGGGGGGAATTCTTAATCAAAAGTTTTTTTTACTGTATCAAGATTTTTGAATACAACTTTAATATTAAAAGTCTTAAGAAGAGAAGGCATATCAACTAAGTTTTCATGGTAAGGGAGAACCAACATATTTTTAGTTGAATAAGGCTGGTTGCCCTTTTTTGGATTATAAAAAGTGTTCCTAGCAACTTTAAAAGATTTATCAATTACATTTCTTGGATATTTTAAATCATTACCTATTTCATAAATTTTGGATATTTCCTCATCTATGAACTCAGGACTACAAATTTGTAAAGCTCTCAAAAACATTGATGAGAAAACAGACAGTTTGACTCTATCTTTTATTCCTCGCATCAAGATAGAGTCAAACTGTCTGTTTTCTCATCAATGTTTTTGAGAGCTTTACGAATTTGTAGTCCTGAGTTCATAGATGAGGAAATATCCAAAATTTATGAAATAGGTAATGATTTAAAATATCCAAGAAATGTAATTGATAAATCTTTTAAAGTTGCTAGGAACACTTTTTATAATCCAAAAAAAGGGCAACCAGCCTTATTCAACTAAAAATTGTTGGTTCTCCCTTACCATGAAAACTTGGTTGATATGCCTTCTCTTCTTAAGACTTTTAATATTAAAGTTGTATTCAAAAATCTTGATACAGTAAAAAAAACTTTTGATTAAGAATTCCCCCAAAATGCTGATGGATGTTGTCTATAAGATTCCTTGTAAAATTTGCGATAAGTTTATTACGGTCAAACTGGTAAAAATCTCGAACTAAGATTAAACAACATAAATTTATAGCATTAGAACTGGACAAGATTCCAATGCTCTATTTATTTCATGTAAGAGATTTTAACCATCCAATTGATTTTCAAAAAGTTGAGAAAGTAGTATCAAGCAAGTCCATGGTCGACAGGAATATAATTGAATCTTGTTTCATAAAAAAGCAGTTTTGACAATAATATGAATATTTCCTTCGGTTTATATAAATTAGATCCATTTTAATAATTATAGAATTTGGGAAGAATTTTAATAATACACTGGACAAATAAATAGCTTGGGGGCGAGTTTTGCAAAGGACCTATCCAAGTTGGCTCGCGCGCGTCACGTGTTTAACCGTTGTGGGATCTGATAGTGAGGTGCTGGCCGACCCCTTATATAGCTTCCTTGGATGCTTCACTTTCATAGTTCCTTGATAATGTGAGTAGTCACGAAAGCGCTTGGAATTTCTCTATTCTTTCAGAGTGGTTGTTTTGCATATTATTATATATATAATATATATTATATATATATATATATATATATATATATATTATATATATATATATATATATATATATATATATATTATACACATCGTATAATATGCATGCATATCATAATCTCGGAAAAACATGTATTTTTAAATATCTCCAGTTGAATATCTGAAAGTAGACACCATATTTTTATTTTTATTTATTTCTTGAGTTTTTATTTTTATTGGTTGTAGCTGAGCGAGGTGAGGCGAGGAGGAGCTACTGTCTTTCCCAGGCTAGGTGCCGCAATCTGGCCAGTCAAGGGATCGGCAGCCTTCTGGTTCAACCTTAAACGATCTGGAGGTGCCAACGAGGCCACACTACATGGTGCCTGTCCTGTGGTCCACGGCACCAAGTGGGGTGAGTTGTGCTCCTTCCTCCGTGCCTCCACGCTGTGTTGTTGTGACTGCTGCCTCTCTGTTGACCACCGTGTGTGTGGGTGTACTCAGCTATATATGTGGTTACAGGGGTCGAGTCACAGCTCCTGTCCACTCCTCTTGGCTAGTCGCTACTATGTCACTCTCACCGCGCTCCAAGAGCCTTACCATACCTCTTCTTAAAGCTAAGTATGGATCTTGCCTCTACGGCTTCACTCTCCGGATTATTCCAATTTCTGTATTTGTGTGTGTGTGTGTGTGTGTGTGTGTGTGTGTGTGTGTGTGTGTGTGTGTGTGTGTGTGTGTGTGTGTGTGTGTGTACTCACCTAGTTGAGGTTGCGGGGGTCGAGTCCGAGCTCCTGGCCCCGCCTCTTCACTGATCGCTACTAGGTCACTCTCCCTGAGCCGTGAGCTTTATCATACCTCTGCTTAAAGCTATGTATGGATGCTGCCTCCACTACATCGCTTCCCAAACTATTCCACTTACTGACTACTCTGTGGCTGAAGAAATACTTCCTAACATCCCTGTGATTCATCTGTGTCTTCAGCTTCCAACTGTGTCCCCTTGTTACTGTGTCCAATCTCTGGAACATCCTGTCTTTGTCCACCTTGTCAATTCCTCTCAGTATTTTGTATGTCGTTATCATGTCCCCCCTATCTCTCCTGTCCTCCAGTGTCGTCAGGTTGATTTCCCTTAACCTCTCCTCGTAGGACATACCTCTTAGCTCTGGACTAGTCTTGTTGCAAACCTTTGCACTTTCTCTAGTTTCTTCACGTGCTTGGCTAGGTGTGGGTTCCAAGCTGGTGCCGCATACTCCAATATGGGCCTAACGTACACGGTGTACAGGGTCCTGAATGATTCCTTATTAAGATGTCGGAATGCTGTTCTGAGGTTTGCAAGGCGCCCATATGCTGCAGCAGTTATTTGGTTGATGTGCGCTTCAGGAGATGTGCCTGGTGTTATACTCACCCCAAGATCTTTTTCCTTGAGTGAGGTTTGTAGTCTCTGACCACCTAGACTGTACTCCGTCTGCGGCCTTCTTTGCCCTTCCCCAATCTTTATGACTTTGCACTTGGTGAGATTGAACTCCTTTGTAGTTCTGCCTGGTCTTCGATCGAGTGAATTCTTCTCATCAACTTCACGTCATCTGCAAACAGGGACACCTCAGAGTCTATTCCTTCCTTCATGTCGTTCACAAATACCAGAAACAGCACTGGTCCTATGACTGACCCCTGCGGGACCAGGCTGGTCACAGGTGCCCACTCTGACACCTCGCCACGTACCATGACTCGCTGCTCTCTTCCTGACAAGTATTCCCTGATCCATTGTAGTGCCTTCCCTGTTATCCCTGCTTGGTCCTCCAGTTTTTGCACCAATCTCTTGTGTGGAACTGTGTCAAACGCCTTCTTGCAGTCCAAGAAAATGCAATCCACCCACCCCTCTCTCTCTTGTCTTACTGCTGTCACCATGTCATAGAACTCCAGTAGGTTTGTGACACAGGATTTCCCGTCCCTGAAACCATGTTGGCTGCTGTTGATGAGATCATTCCTTTCTAGGTGTTCCACCACTCTTCTCCTGATAATCTTCTTCATGATTTTGCATACTATACATGTCATGTGACACTGGTCTGTAGTTTAATGCTTCATGTCTGTCTCCTTTTTTAAAGATTCGGACTACATTTGCTGTCTTCCATGCCTCAGGCAATCTCCCTGTTTCGATAGATGTATTGAATATTGTTGTTAGGGGTACACATAGCGCCTCTGCTCCCTCTCTCAATACCCATGGGGAGATGTTATCTGGCCCCATTGCCTTTGAGGTATCTAGCTCACTCAGAAGCCTCTTCACTTCTTCCTTGGTTGTGTGCACTGTGTCCAGCACTTGGTGGTGTGCCCCACCTCTCCGTCTTTCTGGAGTCCCTTCTGTCTCCTCTGTGAACACTTCTTTGAATCTCTTGTTAAGTTCTTCACATACTTCACGGTCATTTCTTGTTGTCTCTCCTCCTTCCTTCCTTAGCCTGATTACCTGGTCCTTGACTGTTGTGTGTGTGTGTGTGTGTGTGTGTGTGTGTGAGTATGTGTGTGTGTGAATGTGTGTGTGTGTGTGTGTGTTTGTGTGTATGTGTGTGTACTCACCTAATTGTGGTTGCAGGGGTCGAGACTTAGATCCTGGCCCCGCCTCTTCACTGATCGCTACTGGGTCCTCTCTCTCTCTGCTTCCTGAGCTTTGTCATACCTCTTCTTAAAACTATGTATGGTTCCTGCCTCCACTACTTCACTTGCTAGGCTATTCCACTTGCTGACAACTCTATGACTGAAGAAATACTTCCTAACGTCCCTGTGACTCGTCTGAGTCTTCAGCTTCCAGTTGTGACCCCTTGTCCCTGTGTCCCCTCTCTGGAACATCCTATCTCTGTCCACCTTGTCTATTCCCCGCAGTATCTTGTATGTCGTTATCATGTCTCCCCTAACCCTTCTGTCCTCCAGTGTCGGCAGTCCGATTTCCCTTAACTTTTCCTCGTACGACATTCCCTTGAGCTCTGGGACTAGCCTTGTTGCAAACCTTTGTACTTTCTCTAACATCTTGACGTGCTTGACCAGGTGTGGGTTCCAGACTGGTGTTGCATACTCCAGTATGGACCTAACATACACAGTGTACAGTGTCTTGAACGATTCCTAATTAAGGTATCGGAACGCTATTCTCAGGTTTACCAGGCGCCCGTATGCTGCAGCGGTTATTTGGTTGATGTGTGCCTCCGGTGATGTGCTCGGTGTTATGGTCACCCCAAGGTCTTTCTCGCTGAGTGAGGTCTGTAGTCTTTGTCCACCTAGCCTATACTCTGTCTGCGGTCTTCTTTGCCCCTCCCCAATCTTCATGACTTTGCATTTGGCTGGATTGAATTCGAGAAGCCAGTTACTGGACCACATGTCCAGCCTCTCCAGGTCTCTTTGCAGTCCTGCCTCATCCTCGTCCGATTTAATTCTTCTCATCAACTTCACGTCATCTGCGAACAGGGACACTTCAGAGTCTATTCCTTCCATCATGTCGTTCACATATATCAAAAATAGCACTGGTCCTAGAACTGACCCCTATGGGACCCCGCTCGTAACAGGCGCCCACTGTGATACCTCTTCACGTACCATGACTCGTTGCTGCCTCCCTGTCAGGTATTCCCTTATCCATTGCAGTACCCTCCCTTTTATGTGCGCCTGATCCTCCAGCTTCTGCACTAATCTCTTGTGGGGAACTGTGTCAAAGGCCTTCCTGCAGTCTAGGAAAACGCAATCTACCCACCCGTCTCTCTCGTGTCTTACTTCTGTTACCTTGTCATAAAACTCCAGGAGGTTTGTGATACAAGATTTGCCTTCCATGAACCCATGCTGGTTTTCATTTATAATCTTGTTCCTTTCCAGGTGTTCGACCACTCTCCTCCTGATAATCTTCTCCATGACTTTGCACACAATACATGTCAGAGACACAGGTCTGTAGTTTTAGTGCCTCGTTTCTGTTTCCTTTCTTAAATATGGGGACTACATTAGCTGTCTTCCATTTCTCAGGTAGTTGCCCAGTTTCAAGGGATGTGTTGAAGATTGTGGTTAGAGGCACGCACAGCATCTCTGCTCCTTCTCTAAGGACCCATGGGGAGATGTTGTCCGGTCCCATCGCCTTTGAGGTGTCAAGGTCACTTAAGAGCTTCTTCACCTCCTCCTCAGTTGTTCGTATGTCATCCAACACTTGTTGGTATATTCCCTCTTGATGTTCCCTTCTGTTCTGTCTTCCCACAGCCCTTCCTGTCTCTACTGTAAAAACTTCCTTAAATCTCCTTTTCAGCTCCTCACATACCTCCTGATCATTTCTTGTGAGTTCTCCACCTTCTGTCCTTAATCTGATCACCTGGTCTTTGACTGTTGTCTTCCTCCTGATGTGGCTATACAACAGTTTAGGGTCAGTCTTGATTCTCGATGCTATGTCATTTTCATACTGTCACTGGGCCTCCCTCCTTACCTGTGCGTACTCATTCCTGGCTCTGCGACTGATCTCCCTATTTTCGTGTGTTCTCTGCCTTCTGTACTTTTTCCATTCTCTATTGCACTTTGTTTTTGCCTCCTTACACCGTCGGGTAAACCAGGGGCTCGTTCTGGTCTTCCCGTTGTTACTGTTGCCCTTGGGAATAAACCTTTCCACTGCCTCCTTGCATTTTGTTGTTACATATTCCATCATTTCAATTACTGGCTTTCCTGCCAGTTCTCTGTCCCACTGGACCTCCCGCAGGAAGTTCTTCAACCCTATGTAGTCCCCTCTTTTATAGTCAGGGTTTTCCCATTCAACTCCTGTTATTCTCTCCACTTGCAGCTCTACTATGTATTCAAAGCACAGAACCACGTGGTCGCTAGCTCCTAGGGGACTCTCATACTTGATGTCCTCAATGTC